AGGTAGTAAATTATCTTGTGTTTTCCATTTATTAGACAGGTAGATTATCTAGAGTGTTCACCATTTATTACACAGGTAGATTATCTAGAGTGTTTACCATTTACAAGGTAAGTAGATTATCTACAGTGTATACTATTTACTAGACAGATAGATTATCTACAATATATACCATTTACTAGGTAGGTAGATTATCTACAGAATATATACAATTTACTAGACACATAGGTTATCTACAGTATATAGCAATTACTAGGAGTGTAGATTTCAACGAACTTTATGCAGGTCATCATTATTGGGTATCGACCAATATATCATCCGACGCGCAATTCTATATATATATATATAAACCATCTTCCATAGATAAGATAAATAGACAAAGTAAATGCCAGAATGCATGCAAATCAAACAATTTTCAAGAGAGGTTATGGTTGTCTCTTCAAACGGAGATAAGCGAAACACTGTGCCCACTGGTTTTAAATTGTGTTCATCAATTATACTATAGCTGGAGGATAATAAAGATTTATAATATAATCCCTGACATAGACAGACATAGATAAAGTATTAGTACTAAACACATACACACAACCTCTGGCATTTATTTAATGATCGTAGACTCTGGACCAAAGACTAAAAATGAACCGAATGATGTGGTCAGTGTGACATCAGTAAAGCAACTTGGGAGAGTCGAAATGGAAATGGAACTGTAGTCTCTATCGCGTTCACAAGCCCATTTATACGCGTTTTGGCTAAGTCAAGGGCAATAACTCAAAAACCGTTCATGGAAAAATCGTGAATATCGAACTTGTCCAAGATCTCATCAATATAAATGATCACACCAAATTTCATTCAAATCAGATGAAAACTGTAGTCTCTATCGCGTTCACAAGCCAATTTGGACGCGTTTTGGCTAAGTCAAGGGCAATAACTCAAAAACCGTTCATGGAAAAATCGTGAATATCGAACTTGTCCAAGATCTCATCAATATAAATGATGACACCAAATTATTATTTATAAGTTTTTACTTTGATATACCCATTACAGTAAGGGTCATAGAGTTATAAATTATATATCTATGGAAAGGGTCAAAAGACCGGTCTCTCAAACATTCGTCAAAATTACCATTTGACCTAACCCTGCTTTACCCAAATCAATCAATTTTAATCAAATTTCTGCCATTTCCAGCGCTGGCAATTATTTAGAGAAAGAAGGAATTTTGATTGGTTAAAGCAGATGTCATCAGATTAGGTCAACAGGTTATTTTGACGAATGTTTAAAAGGCCAGTCTTTAGACTCTAACTGGGGGGTATACTGAAATTAAAAGCTAATTAAAAAACTAATGTTTGTCTAATTTTGATAAGACTGCATGGAAGGAATGTATTTTCTGGAATATAAGATGACTAACCTCAAAGCTAATTCGGTGACAATAGGGGAAAATACCACGACACCTGCAAGTCTCTTAAAATCATACCCCTATCATCTTAAATGTTTCTTAGGAATTTATTGCTACCAAATTGTTTAAAGAAAGCGATATACTTGTCAGTCTTTTGATTGAATTTTTTGAGAGAAAATTTAGTCGACAGCAGAACACATCGTTGAAGATTTAATTTGTTTTGTGATCTGGTTCTTTTAAAGAGCAAAGTTAATAAAACTATTAACAATCAAAATTGAAAAGATCTGATTAGAATTGTAAATGAAGGCCATCGCAAATAGAAAATTGATCCTAAATCTCAGGTTAACAGGATAAATTATTCAATGACATTTGATGTGGTTTATAACACAATATAGCAATTTGTCTGACTGTTATCACCATATCTTTTAGAGAAATACGAAGAAATAATTGTTATAGAAAATAACAAATACAAGAAAACCCAATCAAACGTGTAGAATGTAGGGGCGCTAGCCACACGTATGATATGATATAAGAACGCAAGAAGTCAAGTCAATCATATGATACAATATAAAGTATGATATAAAAGAACACTCCAAAACGGATGGTTTATATAGAGCGTCAAATAAACATACGTATAAAAGGCAGCGCATTGGATAAACATAAAGAAAACCACTAGCATCAGGCATAATTGTGCAAAAAAAACGTTGTATCAGACATAAGTAAGCAAAATCATTGTACTAAACATCAGTATGTCAAACCATAGCATCAGCATCAGAATATGAATCCATTGCATCAGTATCAGAATACAACTCCTTCGCAATAGACATCAGTGTGTAAAACAATCGAATCAGACATGAGTGTGCAAAACAATCGAATCAGACATCAGTGTGCAAAACAATCGAATCAGACATCAGAATTTCAAACAATAGTATTTGCATCAGTGAAAAACAATCGCATCAGATATCATTGTGCAAAATAATCGAATCAGTCATTAGAATGTCAAACCATAGCATCAGCATCTTAATGCGTCGCATCAGTGTCAGAATGCAAATTCTTCGCATCAGACACCAAAATGCACAATAATCGCATCAGATATCAGTGTGCAAAACAATAGAATCAGACATTAGTTTGCAAAACAAAAATAGAATCAGGAATCAGACTGTCGAACCATAGCATCAGAATCAGCACGTCAAATCATTGCATCAGCACCAGAATACAAAACTTTCGCATCAGACATCAGTATGCAAAATCATCGTATTAGATTTAAATATGAACCATTGCATCCATCGTAATATACCAGCGCATCTGAGTTGGAAGAAATTGCTCAATGCGACATAGTCAAATAGCAGACAATACGTTCAACCTAAAGAATAAATTATACAGTGACTCAATACTTACGTAGAATAACTTCCTGACTACATCCTTACTTCAATCATATTTCAGCTTTAATTTCTCCTAGCACACGTAATAAACAAGGTTCATCAAACTTGGATTACCAAACCAACGGAAATATTGTCTACTCGATCTTGTAGTTGCCTATATTATAACTTGACAATTCCACTCCGTTCAATAAATGTTCGTGTCTTTACCACACACTCGCTTCATAAACCCGTTATCTGAAGAGCTAAATTGAAAGAAAAACGTTGACAAAGCAGAAATTCAGAATTTAAAGTGTAGTATGGAAAGTATTTCATGACAATTGTAACCATTAACCAGGACATGTGGATGTAATCAGGTGAGGTCTGAAAAAAGCAAAATAATTGGCAGTATTTTTTTTTGGAAATATGCTCCAATTTATACACATTGAGGTAATGGTTTTGTTTTAAGCAAGTAAGCACGTAATGGATGTTTTGACATTTGTCGGCTGGAGTAGTGTCAGAAGAATAAGACCCTGTTAAATTTTTCACACCTCCAAAGAAGCGTTTTCTCTAAAATAATATTGAATTATTATATATTGATAGATTGACATGACATAAATGGTGTAGGGTGAAAATGGAGGTATGACTGAACTACAAAAATATTCATCTTTCCAAATATACCTGGGTTTTGCAGATAAATAAGTTCAAAAGCCCCGAACATAGCCTAATAGCTGTCAAAGGCTGGAATAGAGACAGATTTTTCGATCTACTAATGGAGCTGAAAGGTTGAAATAAAGGTTTTCTAAATATGCACCATTCCTATTTTTAATCAGTCCTCTCTTAAGCTAAGATTCCATATATACGGACATATATGCGGACATAAATGGCCCTTGCGGATCCGTCATGCGTCAAATATGATTCCATATGTGCGTTAAACGTATGCGTTATCTTTCTTTTGACGCACCGACTTCTAGACATATGGATGCTTTGGTGCATAATCCCCACAAAATACGTCACATTTGGGAGATCTCCGCACGGAAAGACGTCCGGATGCATCAAAAATCGCTACACCCGGCGATTTTTTTTTTGACGCATGACGGAGACCATTTGACGGATACCGCTTCCGCATATTTGGAATCATACCCTCTTAAACCAACCATTTCGATTTTTAACGCATGACGGATCCGCATGACGCGTATATGGAATCTTACCACAGATGTCTGATTGAAAATTGGAATGGTGCAAATTGTAACTATCTGTTGCCACTATACACAGAATTATTGTTCTTTAGAAAACCTCTTTAAGGATTCTCTATTTCATTCAAATTTGAATATTTATATGTGCGAGAGGTTGTATGAGACGGTTATTTGTTTAGACCGCCGGGTAACTATAACTGCACTAACCACTTTCCCATCTGCTTTGTTTACTTAAGTAGTATATATCATTTTCACATATTTTACTATGTACTACAGTCAGATTACCATCCTAATCTACTATCTACCGCAAATCATTTACCACATCTTTCACTATCTACCTCAATCAAGTTACCACCAGTTTTATTATCTACATCAATCAATTTACTACCTGTTTCACCTTACTTAACTATTTACCACAATCAGTTCACTCTTTCCTACCCAAGTTCACTTTATTCTATGACTGGAATCAATTTACCACTTGATTCACCTAGTTCACTGTCTTCTGCAAATAATTTACTACCTGTTCCACGAGGCTACTTAACAATTAACAACTTGTTCCACCTAGATTATTACCTATTGTAATCAATTTACCACTTGTTCACCTTGTTCACTATCTACTCTCGTCAATTTGCCACTTGTTTCACCTTGTTCACTATCTACTCTCGTCAATTTACCACTTGTTTCACCCTTTACTCTCGTCAATTTACCACTTGTTTCACCTTGTTCACTATCTACTCTCGTCAATTTACCACTTGTTACATCTATGTTCACTATCTACATTCGTCAATTTACCACTTGTTTCAACTTTGTTCACTATCTACATTCGTCAATTTACCACTTGTTTCAACTTTGTTCACCATCTACTCTCGTCAATTTACCACTTGTTTAAACTTTGTTCACTATCTACATTCGTCAATTTACCACTTGTTTCAACTTTGTTCACTATCTACCCTTTTAAATTTACCACTTGTTTCACCTAGTTCACTGTCAACTATTTTCAATTTACCACTTGTTTCAACTTGTTCACTATCTACTCTCGTCAATTTACCACTTGTTTCAACTTTGTTCACTATCAACTCTCGTCAATTTACCACTTGTTTCACCTAGTTCACTATCAACTCTTGTCAATTTACCAATTCTTTCACCTAGTTCACTATCAACTCTCGTCAATTTACCACTTGTTTCACCTAGTTCACTATCAACTCTCGTCAATTTACCACTTGTTTCACCTAGTTCACTATCAACTCTCGTCAATTTACCACTTGTTTCACCTAGTTCACTATCTACTCTCGTCAATTTACCACTTGTTTCACCTAGTTCACTATCAACTCTCGTCAATTTACCACTTGTTTCACCTAGTTCACTATCAACTCTCGTCAATTTACCACTTGTTTCACCTAGTTTTCTATCTACTTTCGTCAATTTAACACTTGTTTCACCTAGTTCACTATCTACTCTTGTCAATTTACCACTTGTTTCACCTAGTTCACTATCAACTCCTGTCAATTTACCACTTGTTTCACCTAGTTTACCTAGGTCACCACCTATTGCAAGAAATTCAACATCTGTTCCACCTAATTTATTATCTACAGCAAATGTGTTACCATTTGTCTCACTTAGTTCATTATACTGCAATCAATTTACTAATTGTTTTTACGTAGGTCACTATCTACAGCAATTGTCAATTTGCTGCTCGTTTCTACCCAGGTCACCATCTACATCAATTATCAATTTGTCACTTGTTTCACTTGTACAACAAATACAAAACAGGTTAAAAGTGGATACAAGGTGTTCAATTTAATCACTGGTCGCATTCATACATTTGCCACAATAGTGACGAATCTGATTTTGCAATTGTAAAAATCATCTTATGGTTTGAATATAATCCTTTCTACCAGGAAAGAATGTTAGTTTTAATTTTTTGTTGGGAAATTAGATTTGTACACGTTGTAACCAGTTTCTCGTAGCTCTTTCAAAACAGAATGTGCGATTATACGTGTGTTGTATTGTTGCCTGAGCACAAACAAAGTAAGTTGAACCTTTTTTCTTAATTATTTAAATAGACATTGCATTTCAGGAGAAGGAGTTTGCGCAAAAGAAAGATAATTCTTTTCACGAATTGGTGTCAGTTTTTGTAAAATTGAAGAAAGTATGAAAAATGTTACAACTATAATCCCGGTCTCCCCTAAGGTACATCTTCTAATAATTTACAAAATTTACTGTTTTCAAAGGTCTAAATCAAGTAATACAAATTTGCATGATATTCATCTACTTGGTCGTCTGTCTCTAAAATACGTAGACCGTCTTCATTAGCCCACAAGGTGCAGAAAAGTAGGACGTAAAACTCCATTCAAAATTCAAATCTAAAATACGTAGTACAGTCAAGTAACCTAATTTCGTGCTAACCTATTTTTCGTGCATCAGATTAATAATTTACATGTGCGACCTCGCGTGACCTCCGCATTTGCTTGTTTTGATACAAATGGGTTATCTGTAGAATGTCATCTAGTAGAATGAATTCAGTAGTTTCAAGCAAGGTAAAATGTATCAATGTATACTTTGACAGATACAAAATGGCGGATTTCAGTTATTACCAAACGTCTCAGTTTTTTTATCGGCCGAATTTCTTTATAATCCCTAGCTGTAATCGGAATTCCAAAGTGTCGTCTGCTTGAATATAGTCCAACGAATGAAGTCATGTGATCGACTATCGGATTCCGTGTCAGCAGAAAAATTCTATGGAACATAATGTGGGCCGTATTCTTATGTTGTTTCAATGACTTTTAGCAATAAATTCGGTGGGTTCGTTTTGCAGCATTGCCCAACTTGCCGCATCGTGCCAAACTGCACAAAAACGACTTGTAATACGAAACTAAAGGTTTCTGATAAAATCCGGAATGGTTCAAACATTGTACACGAAAATAAGTGATGCATTTTGCCGCCGTTGTTGACTTGGTTACTCATGAAATATGGGTCAAAGTGAGGGATTCATAAAGAGAATCGAAACAAACCAATTTTAATTTTTGTACGATATCTGAGGAAACATCTAAGACATAAAAAAAAATTCCGTTTTTTTAACTTTGACGAAATTCGGTGTTGAATCCTCATATGCACGAAAATAGGTTACACCACTGTCGTACTCCTTTGGTTTGAAATAATTGACTTTTATCATCCAGACTTTTATGCCATGTTACATTCTGTTGAAAATGTAGAAGTCTGGATGACTAAGACTATGTTTTGAATTAACCCAAAATTTAAAAGTCTTTCGCGGTTGACTATTTGATCATTTAATTGAAGGTATAATCAAAATCTTTAAACTGATAAAATGCATAAAGTTTGGTTCTGTAAAGGTCCACATCGGATATCTATCCTGACCAAGAACACAGGAATATATTCCTATATATAGTAGGCTCCTTTTGTAGAAAGTGTTCCGGCATGACCTTTTTTTGAGTTTGATGCGACAGTGGAATGACCATGATGATAATGATTGATGCACAGCAATAAAATGATGTTATTGCTATGCGAGCAAGCTGAATCCGATGCCTAATTATATTATTAATTGATGACGAAATAAAGCCCCATCACTGCCTTACTATTTAATAACAGATATAGGATAGTATAGCCTATTATGTTATATTGATATTGGTACCGGTATGTTGAAAACAAAACTGCTAGGCCTATATTATAAGTAAGATGTACAACGTATTATAGACTACATCACATCACATGAAAATGTGTCTCGAAAACCATCCTACTTGCTATTAATCAATAATAGTATAAATAGATGCTGTTTTCTTTATTTAAGGGTATGGTAAGGATAGTTTGATGAAGAGTTTGATTGAGAAGTGAAATTAAAATGGAAAATGAATTAGAGGTGGTAGATAGTGCCACACAGCACAGATCTATAGTGGAATATCTATCAGAAGTTTGTGGTATTAGAACAGACAAAAGTGCTAGACTTGCTGCTATGACAATGTTGTCTGACCTCCTTAGATCAGTTCAAGTTTCTGTGTCAACCAAACGCATTTGTATACAAAGTGGTATTTTAGAGAATCTTGATGATATTCTAGACCTACCCACCTCGGCAAGTTATATTGATAATATGAGTATACTACATATTAAATTAGCCTTACAGATTATTTGGGAATTGTCTTTTGCTCCTGTTTGTGTGCAGGAACCTTTGGTTGATAAAAAATTCCTAGCTAAGATAGTTAGCTTCATCAAGCTAGCAGATAGTCCATTGTTGAGATATGATAAGGCTGGTACACAGTTCCTCAAAAAACTTTGTGAAGGAAAGCAGATTATTGGACAAATCAGTGGAGAATTTGTACAAATGGAGATGTCGGTTATTGATAATGAGGCCAATTATTTTATGAAACAAAGTATGATGTTATGTCCTTCTCAAATTAAAGAATGTAGGTTGTTTGATACATGTGGAGAAGATGATGTTGATATATCTGATGTATTTATTACAGAAAGACATGCTATTCATAAAGAAAGTAAACTGACATTTACAGATGACTCTTGGAAAGACATTCTAGTCACAAATGTTGTTGCCGGACCTTACTTTTGGGCTCAAATTGGTGAGAAGGTCATTTTGACTGCTCAGAAAATTCAGTTGTTGCTAGCTTCTGACGATTTAAAGTTAACTACAGCCCATGTTGGTCAGTATGTAGCTGTTAAACATGATGATTCTTACTTTCGATGTCGAGTTTTGAATAACTATGGAGAACATGTAGTTGTCATGGCAGTAGATTATGGTATGGTTGTTTTGGTTGAAGAATCTATGGTATTTGCGTTACCAGAATCTGTTGGCATTATGGTTTATCAACCTCAAGTCAAATTGTACTGTCTCTCAGGTAAGCTGATGTTTAAAAAGTTATATTAATAGATGTCCATCCATGAACATTTCATAACACAAATAGTCCACTTAATTTTGTGACAGCGAAACTACCAATTTCCCCATCACACTATAAGGTTTGTATAAATATATCTTACCCAAAACAAACTCTGCGTTTATCAAAACGTTTGATCACATTTACTTAAATAACAGCATTTTATCTCTGCCTGAACAATACAAGCATTTGACCAGAAAATATTTTAGTCTTATTAAACAATTTACTTTCAGGAGTAGCTCCCCCTTTATTAGATACAGACATTCAACAAGTAGCTTTAGGTATACTAGTTAATTTAGCTAGACAGAAAGTAGTTATTGGTAAGAATGTACAATCTTTATTATCAGTCTAAAGTGGATATTTATTTAATGGCCTTTCAAAAATGAGGATAATAAGAGCCAGATAGAGACATTTAGAATAGACTTTTGCGTCATTTTTGGCCTCTTTCCTCTACCAATTCAGCTATAAATGGTTACAGAAAATACAGTATAGACTGACATCGATAATAGATTTCAGGAAAGGGAAGGTTTGATTCTCCCAAATGTACAGGCCCAGGATATAACAAATACTTCATCAAATTGATATACCTTTCTACATTCTTTTCCAGTAATTGACATACTTAACTTATATTATTTTAATGTTTGTTGTAGGAATTTCATTAAACAACATGAAGATAATGGAAGTTTTAAAGAAAACTTTATTCTGTAAAATACCCAGTTTAGTTCTACAGTCTCTTAGTTTACTCAATAATTTATTAAGTAATCCTAGAATGGGTAACAAACTACCAGTTGTTGATATAATTAAATGGGTATTAGGTAAGAAATAAATAACAGGCATATTTCATTATTGTTTTTTAGCTATATTATTTTCTAGGGAATATTTAACAGGATAAATTGAAAAATGAGAATTGTATATATTTAATCAAAGAAAAATGTACTTACTGGGCAGTCAGTAGGCCTATCTAGGTCTTTATTAACTTTCTTTCATGTAGATATTACAGATATAGTGAATCCATTAGTAATAATATGTGCATTATAAGGTTAAGAAGGGTTTGGACTTTGGTATTTTTTTGCTACTGTTGAGATTCTGAAGAGCAATACAAACTGAAATTAATAATGTCAACTGGACTAGTGATCTGGAATGGTTTCTTGTTCACTTGAAATTATTTTTTTTTCACCATATTCTGAATATCAGTGACCTCCCCTGTTTATTGCGTCTAATTTTCTAACCTAGAAATAGTATAGGGACGTATTACTTGCCCCTGATACACAAATAATACACAAACATTACTAGTCAAACCATTAGCTCATTATTAGATATTTTATTAAATTTGTGTTCCAGAAATTTGTGAAGATGTTGCTAGTTTGAATGTGAGTAAAGCTCTTCAAGAAAAATTATCAGCAGCATGTTTATCATGTTTATCTACATTATTATTTAAAAACAGACAGAAACGTAATGACTTCTATCTTAATCATGGTAAGTTTCAAATCAAAATAACAATATTTTAAAGAATTGAGATTAAAATGATTCAGATAAGATAACCGCATACTAAGGAATTTGATGCAAAAAAATTAACTAGATCACAAACATTCTGACAGAGTTCCATAGCTTGTATTGTTTATTTGGTAAATTGTTTATGTTTAAAGGTTTAGAAGTGACTGTAAGGCTAGCTGGAGACTATCCTAAACCATCTATAGTATACAACAGAGTTGTTCGTGTATTAAAGAATTATATTATTACCTTCGATAAAACAGCTAGAGAAAAAACACCACCAAGAAAAACACAATATGATGATATTAGTCCTATTCGATCCAGGTAATTTAGATATTAAGTGTTGATTGTTGTGAAATTTGCTGATGGTTGAAACTACTTCAAAAAATGAATAACAAATATGGTTTTCTTTATTGAAATGAAGCAAAGAAATACTTAATTTTTGTCATGCATGGCACTATTCAAATTTTAAAGTATTGATACAGTGTTTTAAGGAGGTTAATCACATTAAATCATGATATCCAAAGACCGAGTGATCATGAAATAGGTTGTGGACAAATTGAAATGCTCAACTTTATATTGATTATGGATTTGATTAATATAAGATTATATTCAATACTTAGATAATGATTGAATTAAAGTTGTTGGTTGATGTTAGTGTGGTATCAGAATTCATTATTTTAACATTATATTACATGTCAGATTTTCTTACAGACATTGTAGTAATGAGAATAAAGTTATATTTAAATCTATTAGCATTGAGGTAAGTGATTTATCATTAATTTGCGACAATTGTTTGATCCCTGAGGCTGTAAAACTTTTGCTTGATATAAGAACCAGACATAGTTAAGAAGCCAACTTACATCATTCTGTATTTAATGTAAGTTGGGATTAAAATAGCTGGTTGTTTCAATTGGAAGCTGTCCAGTATAGAGATCCCTTGAAAAAGTATTTCCTTTGAAAAATTTCTTTCATTGCACACTGCATTGAATTTTGTTGAAGAGCCAACAAAAATAGGACAAGTCTCTTCTCATTTCAACTCAAAAGCTCAAAATAATATGTAGAGATTAAAGGACTACTTAAATGCATTTTGTGATGCAGCTTCTTAAGTTTGGAACTGCAGAAAACTACATTGATATAATGTTATCATTTGATCAATAGTGGCAATACGAACATCATCGTCAAATATCGTGGTTTAGCGCTTATGGACATTTTTGTCTTGATTAAGTCATCTTCACTCATAATTCCAGTAGTAAATGGGTACGAATAATTCAGGAAAGATCCGTGCCTAGAGGTTTGTCCAAGGATCAGCTGGTGGAAGAATCATTTGTGAACCTAAGTTGTTATCTTTTTGTGCAGGACGAGAGTTCAAGTGATGATGAAGTAAACCATTCTGAACTACCTAGATTAAATATATCACATTCAGTTAATACAGCTTTATTTTATAATGATACTTCTACTGATACAGATATAAAATATATCAGAGGTTTGTTACTGTTTAATACTTATACAGACATGAAATATATCAGAGGTTTGTTACTGATTAAAATAGATACAGGTATGAAATATATCAGAGGTATGTTACTGTTTAATACTGATATAGGTGTTAAATATATCAGAGGTTTGTTACTGTTTAATACTGATACAGACATGAAATATATCAGAGGTTTGTTACTGTTAGATTAAATATATCAGAGGTTTGTTACTGTTTAATACTGATACAGACATGAAATATATCAGAGGTTTGTTACTGTTAGATTAAATATATCAGAGGTTTGTTACTGTTTAATACTGACATTAAATATATCAGGGGTTTGTTACTGTTTAATACTGATACAGACATGAAATATATCAGAGGTTTGTTACTGTTAGATTAAATATATCAGAGGTTTGTTACTGTTTAATACTGATACAGAAATTAAATATATCAGGGGTTTGTTACTGTTACGCTAGTTAGACTGTTAGCTAACCCTTTATATGACACGACAAACTAGGAGAAACACAGATCATTAAGAGAACGTTTATTGTATATCCAACATGGAGAACGAAATCAAGGGATATAATTACAAACAAAGGGAGTGAACTACAAACTGTGGTCTACGACAATACAAAGCCACAAACACCAAGGCATGACCACCTTTTCTTCTTAATTAAATTATTAATAAACTTAAAAAGCTTTATTAATGTCATAAGAAGATAGTACTAAAATAGAATAAAGTACTTAATGTAAAGTACTCAGTCTAGCAGAATTTTGAGATGATATGAGGTCTTTATCCAATACGGGTATCTGCTCGTGAGTTAATTGGTCACGTTGGGTCCACATCTATCTTGCGGACAATCCGCCATGGCGGAAGCGAGTATTTATTATTGCAACGACTACTACAAGATCTGTTGATGATATGGGTCCGCGTCATGGATCTATACGCAAGATTTCCAATTCCAATTCTTGTATAGCTCTTTCTGCAACGGGGTTTTTATTGATATTTTTAATCCTTCCTATTACGATACAAATTCTGTGTTTCTGCAGCAACGCGTCATTCGCTAGACTTTGAAATCCTGGAGCCGCATCAACACGTATGACGCACGGTGGACCGTCAAGGGGGCGAAGCACAATACATTGACGGATCAAAGCATTTCTGAGTGTAACGGCTTTCTCGTCCTCTATTAGGCAAGCTGTGGTGAAAGAGGAAACATATTCTCTCAGTGTCAGTATCATTTGACGATCCCTTCGTAGGACTTCGGCAGCAAAGGTTATTCCAATAACTTCTGGTGGCATGGAAGAAGACTATTCTGTTTTGGTCTTTGGAATCTGTTTAAGGGCTGCACAATGAAGAAGAAATTTGTCCAATTGTCTTATCCATATCTAGAGCGAAATAGTATCGGTGAAGCACCCTTTTCAATTGATATGCCAAAAGATGGTTAAGACGTAAGTGTAATGCAGTGATAATACCATCCAGGACCTGTCGAGGGACCACGATACATTCTCATGGAGGTTGTAAAAGGTCTGCATACTTCACAACCAGTATACCATCTTTAGAAATAGTAGCGACAGCGAGATATCTTTTAATGTCTTTCATGTTAGTGTGTTTTTTGATGGACGTGTCCATTGAGATAAATGTGCATGCGTACGTCTGAGATCGGCGCATTCTCCTTGTAGTGACCTCCATGTGCTTCTCGTCAGAAATGGTATGCGGCTTTTACCAGATAGGATATCATCTACCAATGTTTCTACGAAGGAACATTTCTGACATGTACTATCCGGACATTTCTACTTGAAAAATCAGACGGAATATTGGATTTCCCGGCCAAATGGCCTATGGTGGCTTGAAATTTGCTTGCCACAGATAGAAATGTAGATACACGTGGACTGAATGAGAATTCTCCTCTACATAATTTGCGATACGCTAGAGTACACGGCTTGCTGTCAGTTAAGATATGGGCTTTATGTCTGGACTGGATTATATACGGACTAAAATGCTCAACTGTTACAGCAATCGATAAGGCTTCTACTTCACACGGTATCCGTGATGCTTGGCGCGGCTTTAGCTTAGCTTTGAAGAAACCAGCAAATTTCGTTTTACCGCTGCGAACCAGGTACAATGTTGCACCGATACCTGGTTTATTTACTGCAACGTCTGTTATGATCCACAGTTGGTCATCGGGTCAGGGTAGCGTAATTGTTTTGTCGGGTGATAAGTGCCTGTATAGTGCCCTCCTGCCACAGCCATCCGAGAATGTTTACACTTCGTTGAGCTATAAGCGTTTTGGTTAGTGATAACTTTAAGTTGTTAGCTTTCAGTGCGGTTAACACCGAGCGCCAGTTTTGTTGTAGCTCCTCTGGTGTTGAACCTCCACAATAGAGATCATCAACTAGTTTGGCTACCGTTCCTTTGTCGATTAAATCACCCAAAATGCGGCACATTGGTTCCTCGAGAGCTGTTTCGCTGCCTGGCATTCCCATTGCAGATCGAGCGAAGTGCCCATATTGACTGATGCCTGGAATGGTCCAGAAGCACCATTGCTATCACAGATGGGAATGAAAACGTCATCAAAGTCTGTTAACATGTCCTTAAAATCTCTTCTTGTTTCTGTGGATAAGATTTTGTGTGGGTCAACCTGGACGTTGGCAGAATGAAGATCCGAAGGAGTAGTATAACTGGTTTTGACAAGTTATGAGATGTTTCGCGTAGGTCAGGAGTGTATACAGGCCGTACCTCGCAAAAAATGTTCATGTTGCTTCAAAGTTTGTGGAACGCCTAATTCGTTTGGGATCCTTACTTATCCAGCTAAACATGGGAGTAGACATGGGGGTGGCCATGTTGTAGTACTACTGTAGTTGATGTATTGTGGTGTCTGGTGTCCTGGCGAGGTTGGATAGCAACAATATTGTCACTTACATACTCAGATGGCACTTCAATTAACTCTTCTTTTGGAAAGTAGAAGTTTGATTTCGCATGACTTGCACCTCCTCGGCTGTACGAATTTCCTCAAGTAAAGAATCGAGAGCCTGTGAGATTTCGAGCTTAATAGAAGCTAAAGTTCTTGAGCGCAATTCGGCAATTCCACTAAAGTCTTTGTGTAATAGGCGTAACCAGGTAAGGACGAGCATTCATCTTCCTCGTGAATGGCATCACCGTGGTGAGTTATGCCAGAATCTCATTAGAGAAGATTATCTTCTATAAGTGCAGTCAAGCGTTGGTAGAAATCTTCAGGTCGTTCTTCGACGCCTAAACTGATATCATCGAAATCCAAGAAATGGCTTTCGGTTAACTGGAAACCATAGTGAAGACGGATTGACTGCCATGTAACGATGTAGAGTTCTGGACAATAGATTTCCTTGAAATCAAGGGGCAATAATTGGCAATTTGTCCGAGCATTAATTTTAATGTTTTAACCTTTTGTTGTGCAGTTTGTCGTCTGTTTTCTTACCCCCTCTCCGTCATTGTTGAATCCCCTGTTTGGGGTTTGTTACTGTTAGATATGAAATATATGAGAGGTTTGTTACTGTTTAATAATGATACAGATATTAAATGTATATGTTTGTTACTGTTTAATACTGACATAGACGTTTAATATATCAGAGGTTTGTTACTGTTTAATACTGATACAGATATAAAATATATAAGAGGTTTGTTACTGTTTAATAATGATACAGATATTAAATATATAAGTTTGTTACTGTTTAATACTGATATAGACATTAGATATAACAGAGCTTTATTAGTGTTTAATACTGATACAAATATTAAATATAACAGAGGTTTGTTGATGTTTAACACTGATACAGAGAATAGAATGTGTCAAAATTAAAGCTATATATTTTTTGACATTTTATGAATTGATGAATTACCAAAGTTTATGTTTATTATTTAGATAGTGATACAGGATTAAGAGATAGTGTTATAGTTGAAATTAGAGAAAATACAACATTAGAAACTATCTCTGTTGAATCATTATCAGAAATAACATGTGCTATGTTTAATTCAGGTAAGTTGGCTTCCCTTATTATCTTAATTCCCCAGAAAACCTTGTAGATCAGGCTTATAATTGGTATAGTGGTTTTTGGTGTTGGTGTGGCATATTGATATATTCGTATTGCTAAAGTGGTATGTTATTGTAGGTAAGGTGGTACTATATATATATATATATATATAATATACGGTACCTGAATATATAGTATAAACTTTACCTACATCACAATATATATTACTACCTTAAACTACAATAAAACGCCACAATGTACGATACCTCTTACATACAATAAAATGTCACAATATATAGTACAGTACAGTACCTGCAATAGAATACCACTTTTATAATATCATATATATATATATATATATTCGATATATATATATATATATATATATGATATTATAAAAGTGGTATGTCACAATATATAGTACAGTACAGTACCTGCAATAGAATACCACTTTTATAATATCATATATATATATATATATATAAAAGATATATTAGATATCAGGTACCGTATATTATTGTAGGTAAAGTTTATACTATATATTCAGGTACCGTTTATTATTGTAGGTAAAGTTTATACTATATATTCAGGTACCGTATATTATTGTAGGTAAAGTTTATACTATATATTCAGGTACCGTTTATTATTGTAGGTAAAGTTTATACTATATATTCAGGTACCGTATATTATTGTAGGTAAAATTTATACTTTATATTCAGGTACCGTTTATTATTGTAGGTAAAGTTTATACTTATTCAGGTACCGTATATTATTGTAGGTAAAGTTTATACTATATATTCAGGTACCGTATATTATTGTAGGTAAAGTTTATATTTATTCAGGTACCATATATTATTGTAGGTAAAATTTATACTATATATTCAGGTAGCGTATTTTATTGTAGGTAAAGTTTGTACTCAATGGTGTCGTATGTTATTGTAGGTAAAGGTTGTACTATATATATGGTATGTAGGTATAAGTAGTATTATATATAATGTGGTATTTTGTAATATGTAAATGTGGTACTATATATGTATCGTAATATGTTATTGTAGGTAAAGGTGGTACTATATATTTTGGTATCAATAAAGAAGGTATTGTAAAAGGACTATATCTAAATCGTGATGAAAGAGATGAATTAAGAATGGGTATAGATCAAATGATGAATGAAAGAATACATCCATCTATACTACATTATCAGTTTACAGTATCTTTAAAACCTGTTATTGATGTTGATGATAAAGGTGACCAAATTAAAAGAGAAGATCTATATGTTGTTGGTATGTTAGTTTATGTCATAATCAAGGTAAACCATAAATGGGGATTTTGAATGATATAGTATAATGGCATGAAATAAAACTTTATATCTGATATGACACTATGATTCGCTTTTTCATTGACTCTGGTAAGAATAAATATATTGGGATTTGACGGGGATATTGTGTGGTTAAACTTTTGTTTTATAGTATCAGATGTTCCATGCTTAGCTAGTCAGACTTTAGATTCTTTACAGAAATTTACCTAGAAAGTAAACCTGGTATGTTTTATTCATGTAATAGAACTAAACGATGTTTCTATAGATTTGGAGATAAAACAAGTCTCATACATACTCAGGTTAGTAAACATTGAATTTCTATATGTTTAAAGTTATCAGGCCTCAACAATAAGGCATAAAATTATTGAAATATGGATAGAGAAATACAATATTATCATTCAAGCAGATATGAAATGATATTGCAAAAAACCTATAGACAACTTATATGACTTGTTGGAAACAGTTTGTGATAGCTGAAAAGTTATATCACTTAAACACAATTATGCAATCGGATCAAAAATTGTATTTGCCTAAACCAAACTTTTAGCTTTGACAAGAACTTATAGTTCATTAGAGAACTTATTATCTATGACTATGAAGTCATCTCCATTACTTTATATGTTCAGAATTATGCTGAATTAGACAGAGTTACATTAAGTATATATTTGATTTTTCTTTCCATTTTATTGCATGTTTTAAATAGTGCTGGTTATCGCCAATCGATACAAATCAAGATACATACAATATAGGCTAATGGAATAAAAATTATTATTTCATCTTCAATGTTTTTATACATATATTAATTTATAACTTTGTAACTGTGATATTTGGTTATGTAGTTGCAAGGAGTGGTTAACGTCTACTGTTTTATGAAAAGATTCCAACAATTTCAGTCAAGTCAGTAAATAAAAGTTGTGATTCCATTCATCAACTTATAAATCCTCCCATTGCTTAATTATCCCATTTGACATTATACATTACATAAAAAATATTGTCTGCTTTATTATTTTTTTTATAGAATTTCTTGTTCAATAGAATACATGTTCCGAAGATTTTTTTTCGCATAAACAATATTTTAGAATATTTTTATTTTATTTTATTTTTTTAATTTATATATTTATTTATTTAAAATTATTGAGCTAGGTATAACATGAATTATTATAATTATTATAAATCTTGAAAACAGACCAAGGTGAAAATAACTTCTTTAAAGTGTTTGTAAAGAGGTTTTCAGAATTGTTCATGTGATTAGGGAACACTGATAGCATCAATTTGCAACATTCCAATTTTCAAACAGAAGTCTGTAGTTCCTGTAATTCGGCTAAAACTAACATTTTATGACATCACTTATTTGAGAAAGCATATTTGTTTTAGTGGCATTACACGAATCACAGACGTCTGATTGAAAATTAGAATGGTGCAAATTGATGATGTCGGTGCCACTGATACACATATAAAAGTTAGAAAACCTCTTTACAATCCCTTTAATGTCAAAAGATAGCATTACTTGTCAGTTTTACTTTAAATTTTGGATGAGGTAAATTTGATGGAAACTTTTTCATTGGAATGATTGTAATGCTCTATATAAAGTTTATCTTGATGTATTAAATATATTGTAGGATATCAGAGAACTAATTGTTTTAGAAGAAGAAAGTAAATATAAGAAAGAGATTACAATGTTAGAAAAGAAACTGGAAGAGTTAAAGGTATATACCTAGGTTTGAATAAATTGGCAAATATCTCAACATTCAAAATATAGACATGAGCGTTTATTTTATAGGTAGTTTAAGTTGTAGTATGAACTCAAAAGGTCTGGCTTGATAGTTTCAAATACCACGAGTTTTATCCTGATACAGAATTGGTAGACTGATCTTGCCTATGTTCATGAATACAAATATATGGATGTTTTGTCTATTTGTAGGTAGTCTCACATCAATAAGTGCTAAATTAAATACACTGTATATACGAATTAAAAACGTTCCATATCTCTGAATTTGGCAATTGTAAGACATTTTGTGAAATTAAGAGTGTCTTAAAGCTTACTCTGATCGAATCTGATATAAATATTGTCATTTTGTTTGTATGTACCAAATTTACTTTTTTCATTATGACGTGTGTCAACAGAGCTGTACCATTAAATTTTCATTAACCGTATATTTTCGTGTATAGTGCGCAGTTTTTAAAACTTTTTCACAAGAGCTTACCTGTCAACATAAGTTTCTCAGCGTTCTTTTAGAATAGGATGTGATTAATTGTGTTTGGAAGGTTTGGAAGGAACATTTGTTGTCTTATTTTATTACCTTGGTGCTACAACTGTTTTACTTGTTTGTTTCTACTTCAGGAAAGTAGAATATGTTTGAAGGGATCTAACCAATTAAGCATTTTAAAATGAAAATTTAGAAAAATGTCTTCCGTCCATGTTTAAGGTTTTTTTAATTTTATGATAGTGGTGCCCAAGAAGGTTTAAACATATCTTAACCAGTTTTGCAAATGGCAAAATTTTATATAAATTTTATGTTTGTTATTGTTTAAGAATTATTTTATATTTTAGTATATTATGCAAAATGATACATATTTGTGCTTTATAATTTTCTTTCTAACTTTTTGGAATATCATTTTAATATCCATATATTGTTTACAATTTTTCATTGAAATTTGCTTCAAATATAAGACACATACATGTACAAGGTGAATCATGGAACAAACCAAGACTTCCATTGTTAGAATAATATTTGGCATTGACATTTTTCATGCTATATTTTCAGGGTTTAGAAAGTTCTAGAAAGAATTCCAAATATTATTTTGTATCATAATTTCTTCGTTATTGCTGATATTTTCTAATGCAAATAAATATTTGTGAATATTGATATGTATTATATTTTCACATGTCTGTTCCCATCCTAATAGCCAGTGCGATATATCTTTTTGCAGGAGATTTCGATTGATCAGGCGCCACAAGATCTGTCAGTGTTTATGAGGATGTGCTAATCTCACCCCCTTTTATCTTTATACATTTAAAATGTTGCCGCCTATTCATGCCATTGGAATGTAGATCTGGATTGTGAAATGTGGTGTCGCTACGTAGTTCGTTGACCCTACCAGGCGTTCGTCAGTTTCCATCGGTGCATGTATGCTGAATTTCGCCGTAGTTGAAGGGATAAAGGCTAAACGAACCTTCTGTCTGGTAAACGCAAAGTGTAAGGATTGCCAATAAGACACCGCGGGATTTGCAAGAACAAATATGAGTGACTGATTGACTGACGTCAACTTAATTCCTGTTGATTGTTTGGTCCGCGATTGTCTTTTGAGATGATGTTGGATTCATGCTTTCATGTGACAATTTACTAATACTCTGTCAATTGCAGATTATGTTGATCTCGTTAAAGCGTATCAAACCACATCTCCAACTCTCAATGACAGAAAAATTCTTTCAAAATGCGTTGAGTCGAAAAGATGCTTAATGTGAGCATAACTTTGTGATTAAAGAAAGGGATTTCCAAAACAGATTAGAGATGTGGTCGTGCATCATTTTATAAAAAAATTGATCGTGTTTTCATATTTCCTTCCCAAGTTGAAGTAGTTTGATTATATACGTCATTGATATTTCAAACCTTTGATCTATAGATCTAATAATACACATTGGAACAACAATTGATACAAAACTCTACAAAAAAAACATCATTGATTTGCTAATAATAAACAGTACAAATAACAAAACGCGTACCTTCTCCCTTTTCAGGTCGATTTTTCTTCCAATATAACTAATTTCTTGATGTAATAGATTTATTTTCATATTCATATATCTTGTATGCTGTAGTTGGGGGAGGTAAGATCTGGATATCCATTGATTCTAATCACGGGAACATGAGTTCAGAATGCAGATAACATGTCATGGTACTTATTTAATATAAAGACCAGGGACTTAGTTATAGACTGGTTTAAGTATATCAGGTGAACGTTTTTTTCCCGTTAGGAGCAATTAGTACAAGTATAACTTAATAAAGAATTTCAAAAACAGTGAATGATGGTACACCTCGAAAATAATTTCCTGTAGGCGATTATTGTATTCATAGTACAGATAAAAATTGCCTTCAATTCCAAAAATTATCTTATCAAGATCATTCCAATCCTCTTGTACTTTTCTGTTTCTAGCACCGAAATAAGTCACTTGGTACATTTCCCACAACCATTATATAACAGATAACTATAACATTCAGTGATATTCGCCCACATGGTGAGATAACAAAGCCATTCCATTATCAATTCAATTCTTAATAATTTACGAATTATAACTCTATTTCATTTTTTAATACATGTAGTTTTTATTGTTATGTAATTATTTTATAATAATCTTATTCATAATTACATTATCTCATGCTATAGAGACTTTTACAAGGTGCCAAACCTTTTTGCCACTGAGATACTTATTGATACACTATAACCCTCAGACCTAACAAATTAAATTGCGTTGCCCAATAACGGAGCAAGACGGTTTTACATATGCCTGCTTGATGTCGAGAAGGTTCATTATCTTTTAAATACATTTAACTTGAATTATATAAACTCCAAATGGACAATGAAATGCCAAAGGCCTAAATTTGTATAGATTACCACAGACTTTAGAAAAAAAAGAAAGTCTTCAATATCCGTTATTGAAGTTTGTGGGAATATCAGCTTATAGCCAGTGAAAAGTTAAACAATAATCGTTAGTAACATGTGTTAAACCCGAATCCAAACGTTATGAATTCTAACTGTTAACATGAAACACTCATGAGACTTTATCGACAACAAGTAGGCAGGGCTAACTTCTCTTTTCAAATCTATTCTATCAATTGCATTATTCATGACTGACGAACGCATTACGCTAGAATGGAATTGAACTGCCGAAATGATTTTTTTCCTTCAATGTTCTGAATGCATGTTGGTGCACTCGACGACCGAGTGGGCTGGATTTTAACTTTCGTTCTTACAATTAATTTCAGACATATATTTAATAAATGTGTTTTTTGTTGTTTGCGTTGTGGGCCAATTTCTCTCGGTATTTAACCAGCATTGAAATCGACTAAGATTTCATTTTGAAGAAATTCTTCGTAAAGGAAAATCGCTGTTTGAAATCATAATACGTTTGACACAAAACTCTACAATGTCTTTGGATAATTTTATTGGAAGTTGGCAAGAGGAAAAGAAAGACGGATTTGAAGACTTTGCCAAAGTGATAGGTATGTACTATTAAATACTTTACGTAAATAACAAATTTTAAAAGAATTCTGAAGTTTCAGAACTTCAGAGCTGAAAAACAATGAACCCAGGTGTAAAGCTTATTGATAATGACTTTAACATTATGTATAAAAATATATGGTACTTCTGTACCAATTCTTCAATATAATTGGAAACACAATTTACGTTAGATAGATACACCATTCTAGAGTGATCAGATATAGAATTCAATTGATAAAGAATTCGAGGGTGATCAGATAGGGCCTACAGATCTCAATTGATATAGAAATCTAGAGAGATCAGATATAGAATTCGAGAGTGATCAGATATAAAATTCAAATGTAGAATTCTAGAGTGAGCAAATATAAACTTCAAGAGTGATCAGATAAAATTCAATGGAGATCAGAAAAAATGAAACAAAATGAATGGAGTTTTAAGTCCTACTTTTCTGCACCATGTGGGCTAATGAAGATGGGAAACGACATGCAATCTGCAATGAAGGACATTTTGCTAGGACAGCTGCATTAGCCTTTTTTTCGATATCAAATTGCCGAGCTCTCTTTAACGTGCACAGCCTGTAGCACACGGGGCCTCGGTTTATTGTCCCGAATGAATAGACGCCCTATTACCTGCAAATGGAGATCAGGTATAGAATTCTTCTTAAGAGATCAGAAATACAATTCTTGAGAGATCAGAAATACAATTCTTAAGAGATCAGAAATACAATTCTTAAGAGATCAAAAATAGAATTCAGAAATAAAATTCAATAGAACTCAGTAATAGAATTCAGTAATAGAATTCAGGAATAGAATTCAGATTAGAAGTAGAAGTAGAATTTTGTAGAGATTTAAACATTGGTAAGATACTTAATGCTATAGAGATCAGATAAACTTCTATAGAGGTAAAGATAAATAATTCTAAATCAGTTATAGAATTTTAAAGAGATCAGTCCTTTACATGTGTATCTGCGTTAATGTACATCATGAGGATAAAATTTGTCGGCAAATAATAGCATCTATAGAATATTATTATTGAGAATAGGTATGTGTAATGAGCATTCATACAAAATACAAAAAAGATCAAATTGTAAATTCTCCTTCATAATGAAGTATGTATGGCATAATTTCAACAGACGAACGAAGAACGAACAATTTTACGAATGTACTGTGCTTACAAAAGGCAGTCCATACGTAATTTATTTTTTTTTTTTAAATTCTCGAGGGGTTTACATCCTCAGAAGGCCAAAGAGTAAGACGTTCATCCTAATTCGTACAGGTGATAGTGTAAGTGTTTCAATCTCATTCTAGAAGGTGATAGAGTAAATGTTTCAATCTCATTCTAGAAGGTGATAGAGTAAATGTTTCAATCTCATTCTAGAAGGTGCTATAGTAAATGTTCCAATCTCATTCTAGAAGGTGCTATAGTAAATGTTTCAATCTCATTCTAGAAGGTGCTATAGTAAATGTTCCAATCTCATTCTAGAAGGTGATACAGTAATTTTACATCCTTAGAAGGCCAAAGAGTAAGACATTCATCCTAATTCGTACAGGTGATAGTGTAAGTGTTTCAATCTCATTCTAGAAGGGGATATAGTAAATGTTTTCATCTCATTCTAGAAGGTGATAGAGTAAATGTTTCAATCTCATTCTAGAAGGTGCTATAGTACATGTTTCAATCTCATTCTAGAAGGTGCTATAGTAAATGTTCCAATCTCATTCTAGAAGGTGATAGAGTAAGTTTACATCCTTAGAAGGCCAAAGAGTAAGACGTTCATCCTAATTCGCACAGGTGATAGAGTAAATGTTTCAATCTCATTCTTGAAGGTGATACAGTATCTCATTTTAACAAGTACTGGTGATCAAATCATTCCTTCCACTCTTGTTCCTCATATTTAAAAGCTGATAGTAATGTGTTGAAGTCCGCATCCTAGGATATGGCAAGGTCATGGTAGACTGAATTGTTCTTAAAGGAATCAAGTCTAGGAGGTACCGTTTCATTCTAGGTGTTGATGAAGTCTATGTTTCCATTCTCACCTCAGAATGTAGTAACGTCCCCACTCTAGGCGGTACAGTTGTGTTTACGCCATCGTTAAAAGATGAAAGAATATTTCAGTCCGAATCCTAGAACGTGATATAATAAGTGTCTCCAAACATTTTTAGGGCGAAAGAGTAAGTGTTTTATTCTGATTTTAAGGTGAACGCATTCTCAAGAATGAAATTTACTCTTTGCCATTTTCCACATGATGTCGGCAACACATGCCACCATCTCATGATGATGGAAATCAATTTTTCTGTGGTCATTGTGGGTATTTCAGTCCCATTTTTAGAAGACGGAAGAGTAAGCGTTTCATACATTTGATTTTTGCAATAATCTGTAATCTATATTAAAAGAAACATTTTCGAATCCAACATCAATTCTCGAAATCGTACATGATAAAGATTACAAGATGTATACTATAGTAAGATAAGATAAGGTCAAGTCGGAATCCAATACGGTTTTAGTTACATAATCAGTGTGTCTCATCTGAGACCAGTCTCAAATCTATTAACATATCATCTGTTTTATTTCTTTACTAACACATTTTACTTTGATCTTCAGCCCTTGATATTTACCGTTTCTGTTTTTAAAACGGAACCACCCATAAACAGAACCATGTTTTTGTAGTTGTATCTGGAGATTAATTGGTAGAGTAAATGTTAATTATAATGGAAATGTGTAGTACAGACCAGTTAAACTTTATTCATAAAAAACACATGCTCTACAGATTTCTTCTATATCATATGATATAGCAAATGAATTAAAAATCAAACTTTCTTGGTTCACATCCAACTCAGTCAACATCTAACTAAAATGTGACTTTACTTTGCTTCGTACGATTGCTTTAAACGTAGACCTGCAAAGTCGGCGTCAGTCACTGTTGCCCTGCGACACGTTGGAATAATAAATATTGAACACAAAACATTGACTTACCAAGGTACAACTAAAGAGTGCAATATTCTGGTTTGTGTTGACCTACTATGTTATCATGCACTAGCAATGTTTTAATAATTTATCCAAATACATGTTTTATACAGTAAATAATGGAATCACAAGGCGAAACAAATCTTAACAGAAAGGTATTAGAAACGTTCAATAGTGCATGTTTAGAATTATGAATAATAGCTGAGATCTGTTCATTTCCTTATACAATATCTAATGGAAATACGTCGATTGAAAACATATTTTTCATATTAACTGTTACGTT